TCCACGCGGCGTAATTCCACGCGTTATATTCCCTACGTTCCTATTTCCACGCGTCATGTTCCCTACGCCCCGTATTTCCACGCGTTGAATCTCCACGCGGCGTAAGTACACGCGTTATATTTCCTACGCCCCTATTTCCACGCGTCATGTCTCCTATGCCCCGTATTTCCACGCGTTGAATTTCCACGCGGCGTAATTCCACGCGTTATATTCCCTACGTCCCTATTTCCACGCGTCATGTCCCCTACGCCCCATATTTCCACGCGTTATATTCCTTACGGCCCTATTTCCACGCGTCATATCCCCTACGCCCCATATTTCCACGCGTTGAATCTCCACGCGGCGTAGTTCCACGCGTTATATTCCCTACGCCCTCTATTTCCACGCGTCGTAATTCCACGCGTCATATTCTCTACTCCCCCCATTTCTACGCATCCGTGTTTTCCTTAATAATTCAAAAACTAGGCTTCAAACCCCACTTTTGCAAAGGGAAATCTTATTCAGAATTATGTCGGCTACCCCCATTTCAGGGACCTACACTAATTGTGAGACACCCTGTGTAGTAATCCAGTAATCTATTAATCCAGCAATTCAATAACACAGTAATCCAACAATACAATATCCCAAGAATAAAACAACCCAAATAAAACTTGCTAATATATCCTAACCCTTATAAACCTCAACCCTCAAAAACTAATAAATCATGCCTCAATTCCCGCAACCATTCGTCCCCGTTCCAAACCCTCTAACTCTACATGCCAAGTAAAAGTAAACTGCTGAACCGAGAAGAATAACCTTAAAACGAAGTTAATCGTCCATCCGCAAAGTAAAGCTTGACAGAAGTCCATTTTAAAGTTCATCTTGCAAAATTCGCTCGTCATTGTCCATGTCTCGCTGACGATATAACTCGTCTACGAAATTGTGTCATTATGTACACACCGCAGAACGAACACGCCGTTTTCCGGCCACCGTACTATCGAAACGGTTAGCTTCACCGTCGAGAAAATCTCTACGAATCTGCTCCTATCGTGTTTGTTCGTGTAACTAGACTTCCGGGGCACATTCGTATTTTACGAGGTCGTCGATGCCCTCGGGTCATTTCTGCGCTGATGCCTTTACCTACGTACTTTTCTCGCCATCAAACTCTCGCCAGAAATTGCGAAATTATTTGGTGATCTTGTTTCTGTCTTTTTTTAACTGGTTCGTGGGTGTATGATTGTGTAGATTGCTATTATTTAGTTTTTTTTTGTATTGTTAGTTGTTGTTAATTATTTCTTGTGCATTTTAGGTGGAATTTTTTTTTAGGGCAGAAAGATTGAGGGAAATATTTAATCTTTTTTGTCTTTAGTTTAGGTGGAAAGTATTGTAATAATTATTGTAATGATTACTTGTGATGATTGTTTTTAATGATTGTTTGTGATGATTGTTTTTTAATAATTATTTGTAATGATGACTATTTTTTATATGATTGTTTATAATAATATTTGTAATGTTTAGCCTAACTAACCTAAACTTCAAAGTTTATATTGTTATATAATATTTAACCTAACCTAACATAAACTTATAAATTCATATTATTATATAATATTTAACCTTACCTAACCTCAAATTGTAACTTCATATTATTATATAATATTTAACCTAACCTAACCTCAAATTGTAACTTCGTATTGTTACATAATACTTAACCTAACCTAACTTCAAATTGTAACTTCATATTGTTATATAATACTTAACCTAACCTAACCTAAAATTGTAACTTGATATTATTATATAATATTTAACCTAACTTAATCTAAAATTGTAACTTAATATTATTATATAATATTTAACCTAACCTAACCTAAACTTACCACTGTACATTATACTGTTACTTCCTTGAATTTAAAATTGTGAACAATTGACAGAAGTATACTGTAAAATTCTACATTTTAAACGTTTAATTTAGTGTCCATAGTAATTGCACCCAAGATGAGAATCGTGTTTAAAAGGTTTCCCTCAAGTTAGCCAAGAAATCTGCAAGGCTTCCTTTTTATCACGTACGTTTTACGTATCTACGTGCATACACGTGTGCGAGTAATAAAACTTTTATTATCCGAATCTAAAAGACGTTTGCACTTCATTATTTTGATATGTTTAGAAATTGTAAATTCTACTTTATAGTGTGTGCACGAATTTAACATATTGAAATTTGAAAGTTTAATATCGAAATCAGTTTTTCAAAATCCATCTTCTTAAATCAACTATCCTACTACCACCCCTTTAAATCTCCATCATCCAACATTCCATTTAATTAACTGAGTCACACGATTTCGAAGACTGGTAATTGTTAATACATTACCAAGTTTTTAGCACTTTCTTTATTATCCGGTGTATCGTGTTCGTTGAAATTCTGCAAAAGAGGTCAACTAAGCTATAAGCCTAGTTACTGGAAATGGTTGAGGGTAGACACATCGATGTATCGGAAGCGAAACTAGTTTCTGAGAAGGAGGGGCAACTTCGAAGACCTTCTAATTACAAGTTATAGCGTGGTTTAACGTTTAAACCACCAACCGATGTTCTTCGTATGCTTGGATACGTTATAATACTATTTCGCGTGTTTGCGATACACTAACGTTGAGTCGGTGGGTATACCAAGGGGACACTGACAAAGAAATTTTAGGGAGAGACGGATATTATTGAATTTTGGAAAATTTGGAAATTTGGAAACGTGAGAATTTTATGAATTTGGAAAATTTGGAAATTTGGAATATTGAGAATTTGGAAATTTGGGAATTTGGGAATTTGGGAATTTGGGAATTTGGGAATTTGGGAATTTGGGAATTTGGGAATTTGGGAATTTTGGAATTTGGAGATTTCGGCTTCCAGGGAATTTAGGGATTTTGGAAATTTTGGAAATTTGGAATTTTGAGAATTTGGGAATTTGGAAATTCGGAAATTTGGGAATTTGGGAATTTGGGAATTTGGGAATTTGGGAATTTGAGAATTGGGAGTGTGGGAATTTGGGAATTTTAGAATTTGGGGATTTGGGGAATTTGGGAATTTTGGAATTTGATTTTGGCTTCCAGGGATTTTAGGGATTTTGGAAATTTGGAATTTTGAGAATTTTGGAATTTGAAAATTTTGGAATTTGGTAATTTGGAAATTTGGGAATTTGGGAATTTGGAAATTTGGAAATTTGGAAATTTGGGAATTTGAGAATTTGGGAATTTGGGAATGTGGGAATTTGGGAATTTGGAAATTTGAGAATTTTGGAATTTGGAGATTTTGGCTTCCAGGAATTTGAACATTTGGAAATTTGGAAATTTGAAAATTTGGGAACTTGAGAATTTGGGAATTTGAAAATTTAGGAATTTTGGTATTTGTGGAAATTTGGAAATTTGGGAATTTGGAAATTCGGAAATTTGGAAATTTGGGAATTTGAGAATTTGGGAATGTGGGAATGTGGGAATTTGGGAATTTGGAAATTTGAGAATTTTGTGAATTTGGGAAATTTGGTAATTTGAGAATTTCGTGAATTTGGAAATTTGGAATATTAAGAATTTGGGAATTTGGGAATTTGGTAATTTTGAAATTTTGAAATATTGAAATTTGAGAATTTTGTAAATTTGAAAATTTTGAAATTTGAGAATTAGAAATTTGGAAATGTGGAAAATCGAAAATTTTGTAATTTATGAATCTTTAAAATTAAAAATTTAAGAATTTCTAAATTTTCAAATCTAAGAATTTGAAAATCATCCCCACAACAAATATTACCTTAATCTTCCCCCACAAGCTACGTAAAAAATTATTAGTCCAAAATATCACTAACCCATCCACCTATCACTTATCAATTCCAAAAAACAATCCTACTTAATTCTATTGTCTACAAAAAATAGTGCCACGTTCTTCAACCACCCCTTCGCCCCCCAAAATATCCAACCATCGCCACAAATCGAGCTCGAATAAAGCTTGATTCACACTGCAGTAGACATTAAATCGCAGCTTGCCGAGTAATTACTCTCTCCTAAAAAGCAAGCCCGGTGTAATCAGTGAAACACGATTCAAAGCAAATTCCCTCCGACAAGGAGCTAATGTTCGAAGAAGGCAAAGAAAAAAGGAGACGGCGTCAGTCGAGCGGTCATTTAATTAAACGGAAGCGATGAGAGTTGGAAAAAGGTTAAGGCAGTATTCCGTGCACAAGTACCTTCTCGTAATCGGAAATCTTCTACAATCCACCCCTGTGCCCAAGTGGTCCTATTGGATTTCGATTAAGCGACAAAGAGCCTTCGTTTTCCCCTATACGCGAATCGCAGCCCCGTCTTTCCGCGTACTGACACGGTATTCTGACGGTTAACGCGAGAAAGGCTGTAATATTTACTGAAAACGGATTCGAAATCAAACGAAGACAGATTGAAACAGTAACAGATTGCAATCGAATCCTGGTTCGATTACGTTATCTCGTTGCATTTTGATTAAAGCGCTTTTTGCGATCTGGTCGTTTATTCTCTCGGTGGAATTCTTTTAGAGTAACAGGCGAGATTTTAATGTTTGGCGATTAGGGTTTGGGGGGTTGGGAATTGGGGGATGTAGGAATTTGGAGATTTGGAAATTTGGGGAGGTAGGAATTTGGAGATGTAGGAATTTGGGGGCTTGAGAATTGGGGGATATAGGAATTTGGAGATTTAGAAATTTGGGGGCTTAGAAATTGGGAGATATAGGAATTTGGAGATATAGAAATTTGGGGGCTTGGAAATTGGGGAATATAGGAATTTGGAGATTTGGAAATTTGGGGAGGTAGGAATTTGGAGATGTAGGAATTTGGGGGCTTGGAAATTGGGGGATATAGGAATTTGAAGATTTAGAAAATTGGGGGCTTGGAATTTGGGGATATAGGAATTTGGAGATTTAGAAATTTGGGGGCTTAGAAATTGGGGGATATAGGAATTTGGAGATTTAGAAATTTGGGGGCTTGGAAATTGGAGGATATAGGAATTTGGAGATTTAGAAATTCAGGGGCTTGGAAATTGGGGAATAAAGGAATTTGGAAATTTAGAAATTTGGGGACATAGGAATTTGGGGGCTTCAGAATTGGGGGATATAGGAATTTGGAGATTTAGAAACTTGGGAGCTTGGAAATTGGGGGATATAAGAATTTGGATATTTAGAAATTTGGGGGCTTGGAAATTCGAGGATAATATAGGAATTTGGAGCAGTAGGGATTTGGGGATGTAGGAATTTGGAGTCATAGGAATTTGGGGACATAGGAATTTGGAGACATAAAGATTTGGAGATATAAGAGTTTGGGGATATAGAAATTTAGAGACGTAAGGATATGGGAATGTAGGAATTTGGAGTCATAGGAATTTGGAGATATAGAATTTTGGAGTCATATGATATTGGAGTCATAGGAATTTGGAGTCATATGAATTTGAAGTCATAGGAATTTGGAGTTATATGTTTTTGGAGTCATAGGAGTTTAGAGTCATAGGAATTTGAAGACACAGGAATTTGCATATATAGGAATTTGGAGATATAGACATTTTGAAACATACAAATTTGTGGACACAGAAATTGGGAGACATAGGTATTTGGGATATAGGAGTTTCGAGTCATAGTTATTTTGAGATACATAGATTCGGAGACATAGTAATTATGGTAAACATAAAAATGAACCAATTTATAAATTCAACAATTTGAAAATTTGCCTCCATCCCGAACTAACGTAAACTTGCCTAAACCCCTAATAATATGAACCAAATTTTGCTGAATATAACAAAAATTATCAATTTATCTACCCTCTTCCTAATAACCGTAAACAAAAACAAAAATTCCCTATGTACAAATAAAAATGCCAATAACCTCCTACAACACGGTACATGAACCAAAGTCAGTTTCACGTGCACGCTTCAATAAAAAGAAAAACTGATGACGTCCAGCACTCCCGTTTCGTTTGTTTTATTCGATATACTAATCGAACGGAAATAGTGAGCACCCTTCCAGACATACTCTTATCAACGTCATGCCATCGAATGGGAATGTTATCGAAGATATATTGTTGTCAGTCATCGAGTGTCTCTAAAAAGAGAGCCATAACTGCTATGCCGCACCCTGCGAATCACCTATGTATATCACATGATTTCTTGATAAAATCTTTTTCGGCCGAGCACGTATTCTTTCTTTTATTTTTATCAGTGCGCGAAGTGGAATGAAAATTATGTACGGTGAAATGTCAATAACGAAATGGTTCGTGAATGAAATATTGAGGATATAATTTTGATTTCACTCTCGAGACTGCTTCCTATATGCGTCACCGTTGCTTTATCGTTATTTTGCAGCTGTGGTCTGGAAATTTCATTGCAAACAGTGTGAAAATTGTTTGAAACGTCGGAGTTAGTAGATGGAGATTTAAAGTGGATTATTCTTTGGATTGCTTTCTTTGGTCATATTTGAAAATTGTCATTTAATACGTGGCGATGTAGGATATAGAATGTATGACAAAATAGCTTTGCAGTTTTATGATGTATGGTGATTCGACGTGTGGTGAATTAATGAGTCACAAATTAACGCGTAGCGATTCAACGCGTGGTGATATAACGCGTGGCGATATAACGCGTGGCGATTCAACGCGTGGTGATATAACGCGTGGCGATATAACGCGTGGCGATTCAACGCGTGGTGATATAACGCGTGGCGATATAACGCGTGGCGATTCAACGCGTGTCAACGCGTGGCGATACAACGCGTGGTGATATAACGCGTGGCGATATGACGCATGGCGATACAACGCGTGATTATATAACGCGTGGTGATATAACGTATGGCGATACAACGCGTGGTGATACAACGCGTGGCGATACAATGCGTATACAACGCGTGGCGATACAACGCGTGGCGATACAACGCGTGGCGATACAACGCGTGGCGATATAACGCGTGGCTATATAACGCGTGGCGATACAACGCGTGGCGATACAACGCGTAGCCATACAACGCGTGGCGATACAATGCGTGGTGATTATAACGCGTGGCTATATAACGCGTGGCGATACAACGCGTGGTGATATAACGCGTGGCGATATAATGCGTGGCGATTCAACGCGTGGCGATACAACGCGTGGTGATATAACGCGTGGCGATATAATGCGTGGCGATTCAACGCGTGGCGATACAACGCGTGGTGATATAACGCGTGGCGATATAATGCGTGGCGATTCAACGCGTGGCGATACAATGCGTGGCGATACAACGCGTGGCAATACAAGGCGTGGCGATACAACGCGTGGTGATACAACGCGTGGTGATATAACGCGTGGCGATATAATGCGTGGCGATTGAACGCGTGGTGACATAACGCGTGGCTATATAACGCGTAGCGATACAACGCGTGGTGATATAACGCGTGGCGATATAACGCGTGGTGATATAACGGCTGGCGATATAACGCGTAGTAATTTGTAGCGCGGTAAATTATCGAGTGGCAATTTATCGCGTAGCAAATTAATGCGTAGCGAAATAACACGTTGCAAAATAACGCGTATCAATTTAACGTTCATTTAATTAACCTTTCAAAAAAATTAACGAGTGGCTATCTAACGCCAGGAGACCCATTCCGCACTCATACAAAATTTTACCAAAATGCAACGTAATTGGTTACAGAATAATACATAACAAATTGATACGTTTAATTATGGAATACTTGTATATCGGGTACCGCACTACAATATTCTGGAAGGAGATTAAAATACAAAACCACATATCTGCGGACGATAATGTTTCATACCGCAATTAATTTTCGTTACTAATTGATTGGCACTTTAATTGGATACATGAATTTTGTACAAGTACGTAATAACATACCCTTCGTTTACTTCGTATGCTCTCCAGTTGTCCAGCTGTATTTTCGCCGATGCTTTGGGAACCCCACAACTCCAAACCGATTCTGGCATATGTAAATGTCATCGATCCGATTGGCAGAAAGTATGTCAATATTGTAAAAATCACGTTATACCTGAAAACAACGCGTGTTGATGTTTGTAAAACAGGAGCATAGGAGATATGTACGTTTTTGTGACATACAAACTTCAATTTTAACAAGTCGACCGTCACAGTGAAAACAGTCAATCGATGGGCAGACTATATTTTACGTTTGATGCATTTCGATATTGGAACCTTTGCGATTTTTTAATTTTCAAAATTTTAAAGTGTACAATATTTTAATTTTTAATTTGTGTATTTGTATTGTAAGTTTCTCAGATTTTACATGGGAATGTGGAGATTTGGGGGCGTGAGGATTTTGGGGATGTGAGGATTTTAGGGATGTGGTGATTTGGGGATGTGGAGATTTGGGGATGTGAGGATTTTGGGGAGGTGAGATTTGGAGACGTGGGGATTTAATGATGTGGGGATTTGGAGACGTGGGGATTTAGTGATGTGGAGATTTGGAGACGTGGGGATTTAGGACGTGGAGATTTGGAGACGTGGGGATTTAGGGACGTGGAGATTTGGAGACGTGGGGATTTGGGAACGTGAAGATTTTGGGCGTGGGAATTTGGGGACGTGGGAATTTGGGGACGTGGGAATTTGGGGACGTGGGAATTTGGGGACGTGGGAATTTGGGGACGTGGGAATTTGGGGACGTGGGAATTTGGGGACGTGGGAATTTGGGGACGTGGGAATTTGGGGACGTGGGAATTTGGGGACGTGGGAATTTGGGGACGTGGGAATTTGGGGACGTGGGAATTTGGGGACGTGGGAATTTGGGGACGTGGGAATTTGGGGACGTGGGAATTTGGGGACGTGGGAATTTGGGGACGTGGGAATTTGGGGACGTGGGAATTTGGGGACGTGGGAATTTGGGGACGTGGGAATTTGGGGACGTGGGAATTTGGGGACGTGGGAATTTGGGGACGTGGGAATTTGGGGACGTGGGAATTTGGGGACGTGGGAATTTGGGGACGTGGGAATTTGGGGACGTGGGAATTTGGGGACGTGGGAATTTGGGGACGTGGGAATTTGGGGACGTGGGAATTTGGGGACGTGGGAATTTGGGGACGTGGGAATTTGGGGACGTGGGAATTTGGGGACGTGGGAATTTGGGGACGTGGGAATTTGGGGACGTGGGAATTTGGGGACGTGGGAATTTGGGGACGTGGGAATTTGGGGACGTGGGAATTTGGGGACGTGGGAATTTGGGGACGTGGGAATTTGGGGACGTGGGAATTTGGGGACGTGGGAATTTGGGGACGTGGGAATTTGGGGACGTGGGAATTTGGGGACGTGGGAATTTGGGGACGTGGGAATTTGGGGACGTGGGAATTTGGGGACGTGGGAATTTGGGGACGTGGGAATTTGGGGACGTGGGAATTTGGGGACGTGGGAATTTGGGGACGTGGGAATTTGGGGACGTGGGAATTTGGGGACGTGGGAATTTGGGGACGTGGGAATTTGGGGACGTGGGAATTTGGGGACGTGGGAATTTGGGGACGTGGGAATTTGGGGACGTGGGAATTTGGGGACGTGGGAATTTGGGGACGTGGGAATTTGGGGACGTGGGAATTTGGGGACGTGGGAATTTGGGGACGTGGGAATTTGGGGACGTGGGAATTTGGGGACGTGGGAATTTGGGGACGTGGGAATTTGGGGACGTGGGAATTTGGGGACGTGGGAATTTGGGGACGTGGGAATTTGGGGACGTGGGAATTTGGGGACGTGGGAATTTGGGGACGTGGAGATTTGGTAATGTAAGGATTTGGAGGCGTGGAAATTTGGAGATGTGGAGATTTGGGAACGTGGGGATTCGGAGACGTGGAGATTTGGAGGCGTGGAAATTTGGAGATGTGAAGATTTGGGAACGTGAGGATTCGGAGACGTGGAGATTTGGTGATGTAGGGATTTGGACGCGTGGAAATTTGGGGATGTAGAGATTTGGGAACGTAGGGATTCGGGTACGTGGAAATTTGGGACATGGGGATTTGGAAACGTTCATACATTTCATACATGTACATTGCAATAAATTTCTATTATAAGTTTCTCAGATTTGGAGATTTTTTAATTTCTCATTGTTTTATCTCCAAGTTTCAAATTCGTAACCCTATTAAATTTCTCTGTTGAAATTTAATCCACCTATCACTGGTTTCTATTATACATTGTTATTACCAGATCATTAGACCCCATCTAATTAAATTATAACACTGTTCCGAGAAAAATATATCGATGAAATTCAAAGTGAATAAAAGGGCGAAGTGCATAAACGTTCTTTCTGCGAATCGAAAAAAACTAAAGGGCAAATTAATAAGCGCAGAAGAGATGATTGAAAGAATTGTTTGTTGAAAAGGGCGATGCTGCGTGGAGCGCAAATTGAGATGAAAAATGCCTGGCTGTTTAATCAAAGCAGAAAAATGAGTAGTTACGTAGGCATTACACCTGCTGGTACTGTTAAATGTGATTCATTATTCTGCTCGTTAATTGCCGTAATGAATGGATGTAAAATGAAACTTTCATTTCGAGAATGAAATACTGAAACAGAATTTATGACTCAACGAATTTTTATTCGATCATAAAGCATTGTTGCAAGATGGATCTAATTAAAATTGTGGAATATGTAACAATAGATATATTGTTGTAATTTATTTCTTTTAAATTCTTTTAATTACTTCAATAATAATTTTATTAATTTTATTATTATTACTATTCTTTCATAATTATTATTATTGTTGGGGTTGTTGTTGTTGATGATATTGTGGTTGTTTTGTTGTTGACATTTTTGTAGTTTTTATTGCTACTTTAGTTGATGTTGTTACTGTTGTTTTTTCTGGTGTTCTTGTTGTTGTTATTATTATTGTTTTCGTTGTTGTTGTTGTAGTTGTTGTTACTGTTGTTATTGTTATTACTGTTTGTTATTACTGTCGTTGTTATTGTTGTTATAATTGCTGTTAGAGTTGTTGTTATTGTGGTTAGAGCTGTTGTTATTACTGTTGTTATTATTGTTGTTATAGTTCTTGTTAGAGTTGTTGTTATTGTTGTTAGAGCTGTTGTTATTACTATTGTTATTATTGTTGTTATAGTTGTTGTTATTGTTGTTAGAGCTGTTGTTATTGTTGTTGTCAGAGTTGTTGTTATTGTCATTATTATTCTTGTTATTAGAGTTGGTGTTAGATTTTTTGTTATTGTTGTTGTTATTGCTGTTGTTATTGTTGTTGTTAGAGTTCTTGTTATTGTTGTTGTCATTGCTGTTGTTATTGTTGTTGTTAGAGTTCTTGTTAGACTAATTATTATTGTTGTTGTTAGAGTTCTTGTTAAACTAATTATTATTGTTGTTGTTAGAGTTCTTGTTATAGTTGTTGTTATTGCTGTTGTTATGGTTCTTTCTGTTATTATTATTGTTGTTGTTCTTGTAGTTGTTGGTACTGTTGTTGTTGTTGTTATTACTGTGGTTGTTGTTTTTCCGGTTGTTGTTATTGTTGCTGTAGTTGTTGTTGTTGTTACTTTGATAGTAAACTTTGATAGTAAACCTCGAAAAAAGTATGAAGAATCTTAAACACAATTTTAATACTACTTCATTAATAATCATTATCCATCTAAAAATTTCAACATAATAATCGATCATCAGTCATCACTTAATAATAACAATTAATCTTCAGCAGTCCTATGCAATAAGAATGTCAAGATGAAACAGAACAAAAAGAGAAGTACTCTCGCAATTTCCACACATTTACTTCGTGAAGTTCTTTGTCCACCTATTTATAGAAGCTTCCTTCTTGTATCAAAGGAGCTTAAACTTCTCCATATACGTCCTCGTTAAAATTTAATTAAATCTGCTTCTGTGTTCCGGCTTCGCTAAATGAATTTTTGCGTGAGTACTACTCGTCTCTTTTTTGTAACGTCATTTAATTAGATTCATTGAAAAATGCTCTTAAAACAACAGCCCTTACAGCTTTCAAGTTAGAACGATTACTTATTTGCACGTTTAAATATTAGCTTGTTAAATGTGCAAATTGGAAATATTAAATTTTTCATTTTTAACTTTTATCTTCTTCCTTCAATTTTTTTTTTTTAACGAAGTTATTTTTGTATACAAGTGCATTTTTGTTCGATATACATTTTATTTCGTACACAAACCACCGTAATTACAAAGGTAAACCCGGTGGATTCTTATTAAAAATTCATTTACATTCCTCCATTCGCTGATATTGACGCTTTTTAATGAAACGACCACCTCTTTTCCTGAAACTGATAAGCGTAATTACAACTAGTATACCGACTGAAGCTATTATTAGTTTTCCGACGAACAAAGCGTAATTAAAACTCGATCTACCGGCGGGGTGTCAACCTCACCTCGTAAAATTGATCGTTAGTTACTTTGTATTAATACGTCGTTATGCACAATGTATGAAGTTCGGATTAAACTTAATCACGGGAACGTTCGCGAATCGGACATCGATCGAAAACATTCGTATTCCTGCATTCTACTGTATTTGTACCCTGTATTCAATTTCGTCATCATCGTAAGCAAGCATCAAACTGATAATAAATTTTCCATTTCACGGTCTCGCGATTTGATACATATCGCATTACTCGTATGCTCTCGTTTATTAAAAGCTGATACAAACGTTTCGATTCTGTTTATACTGGGTGCTCATTAAATTGTTATAATGGTATTTGGGGTGAAATGCCCAAAAATCATCACAATAATAATAAACTATTATTTTAGTAAGCTTACAGAAAGAAATTTTGATGATAACCTGGTCATCATGTTGTTAATAAAATAAAAAACAACTTTATCTAGGTTAGATTTTTCAAATGTTCATTTACACTGTGAGGGTTTAGTTAGATTCAAAAATTCATTTTTTACAGATTTATAATCAGTCATTTTCGCTGTAAAAATTATTAAGAATACATAACTATATATATACATTTATATTTATTATGCCAGTGGGGTAGATTAGTAGGAAGAATTGGTTCACGTCCGATTACTGAGGAGGGTCAAGCTACAATGGCGGCGTCGCGAGAAAGGGATGGGTGCCTCCCTCATTTTTTCGGGTGGCCGGCAGCGACTTCTAAGCAGCGCGACCCCCCCC